ATAGAAAAATAGAAAAACTTTTGGCTGACAGTACATTAAATAAACTCCTACCTCCGTAATAAAAATGAATTTCTACGATATTTTAACCTAAAAGAAAGTACTATTTGTTTCAAATCAGATTAATTAAACTTTAAATTGGCTAATATTCCTCAAATACAGTTTCAGATGAATAAAATTTTATTTTGATTTTTTTTTTAATAAAGAGAATTACATTATACTGACTCATGTCTAAAGATGGCTAAAATCAGCGATTTTTAGCGATTTAAAAATGTAGTTCCAGTCAATTTAAATTAGTTTTGAAATACAGCAAAGTATTTTGCTTATTGGAAATATTAAATTTAATCTGTAAGTTTGAAATTAAATTTAAGCTATTAGCTCAAAATTAAGGTCAAAATAATGGCTTTAATAAAGATTTGTCATTTTAAATCTTAGGTACTGCGTTTCGTTGGAGGTACATACACAGACATATGTAGATATCTTGAATAGTATTATCTGATAACATGCTGCTTCTTTCGACATCAAAATTCCTTGATGTTTCACTTGAACAGCCGTCTTCATGGGGCTGAGAATATAAGAAATGGCGCAGAAAGAGAAGAGCGGTTTGACTGCCCAAATAAAGGTTGCTTTAGAATCATAAATAATTCTTTATTTTTTCTTGTAAAGGAAAACAAAAACAAAATCTTATAATTCTTCTTGTCACGACCTTAGTTCCTTTGTTAACGGGTACGTTACTCTCTGTTACTATCTTAATAAATAATGGATTATTCCGTTTTGACCGTGTAGACAGGGGAGAGAGAGAGAGAGAGAGAGAGGGGGGAGAGAGAGAGAATGGCGAAAAGAAGAAAATGTGGGCTGACTAGAAGCAAAAGAGAATGTGGGGAAAATAGAGAGAGAAATAAACAGAGGGGAAATAAAATGGGAAACTAGGGACAAAGAAAGACTGAAAGAGATGGACAAATAAAGAGTGAGAGAGAAAAATACAGAGAAAGGTAAAGAAAAAAAGAGGGTGAGAATGTACATAGTAGAGGTGATAACGTTTATGCGTTTAATGTCTGCTTCACTGAACTGAATTACTTATTATTAACAAATATTTATTTTCACTTGTTTTTCGAAATTTTGTAACCTTTTGTACGTCACAAATGTTGATTACAAAGAATAACGTCCCCAAATCACCTGCTTCATAATTTGTAACGAATTCAAATTCTTACTGGATTAACTGATTCTCAGGACACACACAAAAAAATCATTATCTCCAAATCTTCTACTCATTAATTTGTATTTATGTTGACGCTAGTTATTGTTCATCATTAAAACCTCTCTTAATACAAACTTTCAATAAGAAGTAGTTTGTTCTTGCTGAGCAACCAATTCAACATTCATAAATTAACCTTCTCTAAATTTGTAGCATGCCTATAAGAAACAATGTCGGCAAGACATACACGAAGCCACTATTTAAAAAAAAAAAAAGAAACACTGAATTTGTCAGGGTATTTTTGAAAATGTTCTTCCTTCTAGAGCCTCCAAATCTTGTTATTTGCAACGTGAAGCGATCATATTTTTTATCATAAAATATAACTATTTTCAATTTCGAAGAATGAAACATTTCTGCTTTCCAGACAGATAGGCGCTTGTTATATTTGAATACAGAATATTATTAAAGACGACTGACAAGCTACGGCGATCAAGATCTTCATTCAATTTTTCTGGAATACGTAAAAATATTTACTTTTTTAGGCATAAAGTGTGTAAAAAAAAGTTCAAATGTTTTATATATCCGAGCGCATTTGGCTAGTTTATTAGCAAGGATTACTTTTTTTTAAACTAATATATATATATATATATATATATATATATATATATGGGAGTATTTTCCAAACACGGTCAGCACGTTCTGCCCATATTCATAGTTGATATTACTGCGTATTGGCTTTTGATTTTTTATTATTCATACTTTTAACTTTTTTAGCCGTTTCGCACATGTGGATGAGGCTATGAAGGTCGCATTTTTCCATAGTAGGTTGCGACCGATCTTGGATGTTTTTCGTGTGATTTTTAAGGATCTAATATACGAAAATATATTTTCAGACGTAAGAATATACACTTTCAAAAAATTAATTTAAGTAATTAATCCAACATTATTTCTTTTAACTATCAAATTTAATTTAGTGGTTAGAAGTCTTTGAATAAATATCTATTTTTTTTTTTTTTGCAGATAGTGAAATTAACGTCTACCGATCTAGATCGTCTTATTAATTTCTTATCACTAAAACTAATCTTCTCAAAATATTAAATCACAGAATCTTGTAAATTTAGCAAACAAAAAGCAGATAAGATTTTATCAAAAGCATAGAGAAAAAAAGAGAATGTAACTCTAGATAAGGAATGAAAATGAATTCCATTTTTATGAGAAACAACCTTTTAACCAGGTTCGATACTTCCCGAGAGATACATTTCCTTTAAATTTTTTGATTATCTAGGCCGGTAGATGCTGATTCCATTGTTTGTAAAATAGTAGAGATGTCTATTCAAACATGTGAGTCTACTAAAATAACGTTCATAGTAATTTGCAAGAATATAAATGAAATATTTTATATACCATTACTAATTACATACATTTTAATCGGATAACACATATCTTCCTGTTTGGAGGAAGAGGAAAAAAGACGGATTAAAGATATTAAGATTATCTTTCGTATTATTCTAATCTTGCTGAATTAGAAATTGTATTATAAATACTATGAGTATATTAAGTAAACTAGTACGTGCTTTTAGTTCTGGGTATGACGATAAACTACATCCGGCAAAAGACCCCTGATCGTGAGATTAGAAGTTTTGAGGTGCATGAAAGTACCTCTTAATTGCTTTTATTCACAGGTCCACCCTGACCCGGAGTTGAAGCACCTGTTAGGATCCCAGCTATGGAGAAATAGTGAGAAAAAAAAAAAAAAAAAAAATACCAAAACACTATGAAAGTCTAAGAATGATTATGTATATTGAAATTACCAACAATATACAGGATGTCTCAACAAAATTGAATATTTAAATGTGAATATCTGTAACTATATATCACAAGCTAACGAAATTAAATAGACTTCATGTTGAATAAGAAAAGAATTATTTATCAAAATTTGAACCAAATATTCAAAGGGATGTAGATTTTATAACCGATTTCACAAAGCTTCACAAATGTTCAATATGCGCACCATCTGTGACACGACACACGTCAAGTCGGTAGTCCAGCTCCTGTCAAACACACTGTAGCATGTTTTGCGTAACATTTTCCAGTGTCTCCGGGAAGATAATGACAATGTTCTGCTAAAATGGCCACCACGTTCTTGACTTATTTTTTTTCCTATGTGGCTATATGTAAGGACAGGTCTATATCCTTCCTCTTCTACACAAGCCTAGAAGAACTTAAGCAAATAATTACTGAGGAAAATGTTACGCAAGAAATGCAAAATGCATATTTATAGGTCCATTAATTTCATAAAAACTTGGTAGAAATGCCGCCTGCGCTTGTCAACAGCAAGAATAACACAGTAAAAATATTTTGAGACACGATTTATCTGTCACCAACATCCACCATATTTACCTCACCTTAACGTAATCGATTTTTACCTTTTACGCTCGCTGAGGGAGAAAACTTTCTCTAATGGAAAACCAGATTCAAGAGTTTGTCGAAAAAAGCTTTCACGTCAAAAACCTGTAGAATTTAACTTAAAACCAATGGAAGAGTTGCTTGATAAATAGCAGAAGTCAAATAAGACAATGGTGAAGATATAACTGAATAAAATGTAATCATGCTTTATTTCTGGAGAGAAAAAAAACGTGGTAAACAGAAACGGAAATTATTTATAGCTGAACTTAATTGATATATTTCCTACTGCCTGCAAAAGGAAAAAAAATCTCATTTAATTTTCTTTTGTCAGTTTTAATACTAAAGTGTTCTCTTTACTTTTGCAAAAGTTCTTAAATTTTATGCCACTCTATAAGAAAGACGACCTGAAATAATGGTTTTATATGAAGCTACTTGTAATAGCAAAAAAATAAATTATATATTTCTCAATTAAAATATCAACTAATTGATTTTAAGAGCTAAGGTATTAAATATTGCTTCTGACTATACAAGTCATAAGAATTCAATATGTGAACAGATTATTTTTTCTACTTAAACGAAAAGAATCCAAGTTACCAAAATGGGATTTGCTTGATTTCCCATAAGAATAAAATCTAATGCTGCAAAAAGAAAAAAAAAAGATCTCATAATTATATGCGAGTGCAATTTGTCAAATCTCCAAAACTCGAAAAGCGAAACAGTCATCGGATTAATTCGATTTGAGGCTATGGCCAGAATGCACTCCATTCCTTGTTAATAATTATCATGTGTAGGGTAATTTTATTACATTAGAGGACACAAATACTCCCAAAGAGAAAGCAAAAGTCGGTCCAGTAAGTGCCGTGTGAGAATTATTGGCCAAGATGTTGTTTAAAATTTGGATTTAAAAGCAACACTAACTTAATTAGACAATGTCTTTCTCTTCTGTATTTTTTCCGGGATGGTATCTCATTGGTTGAAAATCCATTGCCAGCTACTTCGTCTGAATCTCGCTACTCAAGATGATATCTAATTTGTAAGAAAGAAAAACAAACTCAAAAATATTTCATGAAAGCAGTACATATTTCGATTGTAATCTGTATTCGACAGAATTAACTATATTTTTGAAAACGACATCCCTTTATTCAACGTGTTATTTCTTCAAGTACACGCAATTATCAACAGCCATGGACTGACGATCGACTAAATCATGTGCAATCAAAAAGATAGGAAAGTAAATTAAAAAAAATGCAGGAATATATAAGGAATAAACTGCGAATCAGAAATAGAGTGGAATAAAGTAGGATAGGAAAAAGTGTCGGTTCTTATTTCTCCCCAAATACATAAGTTATCTCTGAAGTCTATTATTATCTTAACTAAAATTGAAGTAGGTCGCTATTCGCTGTTAAAGTGGGGCCCAGCTATTGTGTTTGTATTGGATATCAATTGCTGTCGTGAAGAAAGGAGATACGAGACGTGCCAATGAAAAGAGACTACTGAATATTGTAATATGGGAATGGTTACTCTAAACAGAAAGAATCGATAAAATAATACAAGAATAAGAATCCTTAGCGTTGAAAGTTGTTAAATTGTAGTAGAAAATGGCTGCACATTTCTCTGTACTCACAGAGAATGGTATCTATAGAAAATAAACCCTTTTAAATACCATTATCTTTCTTATGAAAACATCGTAGCAGTTAAGGCATTTGATGCAGTTGGGTGAACCTTATTAATTCGATTAAATAGAAACACAATTTTACTTGTTAATCTGAAGAGAATGTTAACTGCCTAAGTAATTTCGGGTTTAGAAAAAGTGTTTATACTTATCACATAAGCAGCTACTGATACCATGTAACCAAGTCAGGTCATCAGTAACTAAACCAGTTCCTATGTCATACTTTCCGGGTGAGGGACGTGGATAGTCATTCGGATTGGAGGAAACTTCTTGTAGGGGTCAACGATCATTTAATACAATGGGTTAGAATGGGTCCCATTGCCCAGATGACAGGGCATCGGCGGTCGGGAGATTCCTAGACCGACGTCAACGACCAGGGCGGAAAGTTCCTCTGATGTAATCAACGATCACGTGTTCGTGACCAAGGCGTATCTTCAAGTTGGAAGTCACCAGAGAGAGATAGAGAGAGATATATAGAGAGAGTAAAATAGAAAGAGAGAGAGAGAGATAGGGAAAAGAGAGAGAAAGAGAAAAGACTGACAGAGAGAGAGAGAGAATTATATATATATGTTTATATATATATGAGAGAGAGAGATAAAGAGATGTCAGGTTTAATTATGAATGAATACCTCTCAACTCAAATATGCCGAGGGAATTAGCTTGCTATTCAGCTCCGCAGTGACCCTAAGAGCATACTCAATTATGGAACTGATGATGATGAAACACTTAGTAAAATAATTATGATCTTTGATAGAAATCTAAGTTTATGTCATATATAGGGAAATGTATTTATCGTATTAAAAACTTTTGTTTGTCAACTATATAGGTGCTATATTTTCTATTACTTCTATGTACGATTTCCCTCCAAAACGTGGACGATCATTGCTCACCACGTTTTTTCCTGTCCTTTTGTAGCCTTATATTTCTTGCTGCTATATCTTCTAATCCCTGTTTTGCCAACTCGTTAGGTAGATTATACGCTATTTTGTTTGGTCATCTTGTCTTCAATTTGTCCCGTGTGTGTCAAATTTTCCAAGCAATCCTTTCTCATGATGAACCCAAGAAATTTCAACCTCTTATTTTCTCATGTAATGTATAAGTATTTTTTATTCCATTTTCTCTTCATCGTTGTTCATCGTTCAGTCTGTTATTTCTAGCGTGCTTCTATAGAACTACTTTTGTTGTCTCTTCTCTCCACATCTATGAGAAGGTTATCCAGTATTCAACGCCATATAGGAGAACCGATGATGCAACTTAGTACTCTTCACGTTAATTTTACCCGTGATTTAAGCCTTTAATCTTTTCCGTGTTTTAATACATAAATCCATGTTTCACTATGGTAATGCGTCTTCGAAATTCGGTATCGCATTTTCCGTCCTCTGTTAAAACACTTCTTAGATATTTAAATTTTTGAGCTCGTTTAATTTTGTTGCCTCCAATTTCTTATTTGCATGTCTTAAACTCTCTGACAATTGATACTTAGTCCTTTCTTCACGCTTTCGTTACTAACTTCTGTAAGACTTCCTGTACTTTCCTTTATGGGTCTTAAAAATGTCGTCTGCATATTTAATGTTGAAACCTTGTAGGAGTTAAGGAGTCAGATGAGAAAACACATTGCTGTCTTAGGTCGCTTTGTAATTTTGTGTATTTACTGAATTCGTTTTCTAGCCACATGCAGGCTGTGTAAATTCCGTATTATTCTAATGACCTACCCAAATAAAACAAACTACAAGTTCTTTGCCATGTGCCTTCTTTTGCATAATCTATAGGTATACACTCTTGCGATTGTATTGTTCTTTCTCATATGATTATGAGCTTAAGTGTCGCATTTTATGTTTCAGAGTCTTTAAATTTTCCGACATTTTTTAATCAATTCACCCCAAGCCAGGTGATAATGCCACTAAGACGCATAGGGGGTATTGGGAGTGATAGACAATAAAGACTTTAGAAGGAAAAGGAAACCCAATCCTAAACAAGAAACAAGGAATAAACACCTGTTCAACTGATGTGGAGAAGTGTGAACCGAAAGGTAAGCAAATTTATATACTCCTATTACTACCAGCTATTTAGTAAATAAACAAGATATTATCTTCATATGGCCGCTTGTCAAGAAAAATGACGACTCCGAATTCAGAATCGTCGAAAATGCAATGTACAGGTTGCGATGGGTAAATTGTCTCTATTTTACTTGTTTAATTTCGCGCATACTAGTTGTTTGTTTTTGATTTTGTCGATTTCACAGTATAGTAGGATCAGCTGGGTACCGTCTGTGAGAAAAAAAAAAGCACCATAATTCACTCGGCCAGAAATTTGGAAACGGCATACTGTACTGTTTGGAATTTGCATCAGAAACTCCAATACGAACATTTCAGTGTGTTTGAGTTCCTTCTGAAGACACTGCAGAGGACTAAAATTGTTGGATGAGTCTAATGGGGATTACGAAGTTGTTTGGAATGATCATTAATGATGGCGTCGTTATACTTCTATTTATATTCCCACAGGGCCTTAGACTCAATATGCAGTCCTAAATTAACTGTCTTAAGAAGTTAGTGCTACTCTGGGCCAAGAGGGTGGCTGCTAGAAGATCATATGTCTGATAAAAGGACTCTACACCCTGCCGCACAAGCAGGAGAATACAATCATCGCTGTCAGACAATTTCTGCGACCAAATCACCCCTTACATCTGGCCACCTAACACCCGTGATTGCACCCCTTTGATTCACTCCGCCAGAAATTTGTAAGCCGCATGAAGTACTGCTTGCCATTCGCGTCAGAAACTCCAATGCGAACATTCCAGAGTGCTTGGGTGTCAATCTGGGGACAGTGCGGAGGATACGAAAATATTTAGATGATACTAATGATGGTTACGAAGATGTTTCAGTGATTACTACTAATATTTAGATGATACTAATGATGGTTACGAAGATGTTTCAGTGATCACTACTGATGGTGACGTTATGCCTACATTCATTTTTCCAAAGACTAAACATGAATGTCTTTATCAAGTACATGGGGAGGTAGTGCTGTCCTGAGTGAAGAGGAAAGCTGCTGGAAGACCCTATGTCTACCACCAACATGCCGCACATTCAGGAGAACCTGGTGATAGTTGTCAGACAATGTCTGCGACCACATCACCCCCCTTACATCTACCCACTTAACTCCCCAGACTGCAACCCCCTTGATTTGAGCCGGAGACCAATAAAACTCCTTGTAACACCAAAGACGTACTGAAGGCAAGGATTATGGCAGCATTCATCAACTTAAACAAAGAAATCGTCCAGAAGAGTTGCAGGAGATTCCGAAGTCGTCTGGAGGCCGTGGTTGAAGCCAATGGTAATTTTATTGAATAAATTTACTCTTTAGTATTTCAAGTTATTTTTGTGTAGTTTTGGTAAACATATATGTTAAAATGAAATGTCAGAGTTATTTTGATTTTTGCGTAATTTAGATGACAATTTATCCATCGCATCCTGTATAAAGTACATAGTTATGGCTTGAACGGGTAAAATCTATCGAGCCATCCAATAAGTTATAGCCAAGTTTCGGATGACGAAGATCCATTTTATTGCCTCATCTTTCTAAAACGAACACCAAAATAGTTGCATTCCATCATCATCGATCTGATTCGGAACATCTTAATGAACGGAGATCATCCTGGTGAAGCATCGTGCCTCGAAAGACTTTTTGGCTTCTGACTCAAACCCGACCTCAAGTGGAACTTGTACATACGATCCACTGCTAAGGATGAAGGTAAGACCCCCCCCTTTTTTGCTATCCTCTAACTTTACTAAGAGCTAGATCAGACCATAAATGGAGTACTGTTGTCATATTTGGGCGGGAGATGCCCAGACCTCATTTTCAAGACTTAGTAGAGTTCAAAATCATTTCCAAGCTCTTGTAATTGATTTCTCCACTCATTCTCCCCTCAGGATGCGGTAAGTAACCCCCACTCTCAAAGTGCTCGTACCTATTGTTTGCCGAGACAAACTTTCAACGAACACGTGATCACCCAGGAAACTCCGTATCACATCGCAGCTTCTTCCCGTGAACTACTGCCCTGTGGAACTGAATTCCAACAGTTTCCTTGATCACTACAACCTTCACTTGTTCAAGGCTAGGGTTAACCGTTATCTTCCACTCCTATACACACAAATGACCTCAAACTGTGATACCTTAGAAAGGAAACCTCACCGTAAAATGAAAATAAAATGGTTTATGAAGAAAGGAAATATTGATAATGTAGTTTCTATTGCATTATGGGTCTTGGGAATTTTTCAGATGGGCGTCTATCGGAAGAACATGAAGAAGAACGTAATAACATATTTCTTTATGCATTTACGATCTTTAGTGCCATTCATGGAAGTAGCTAATTCATTGAATTAACCTGTGGCGACATAATTTTAAGGTAAACATTAACAGATTCTTCCAAATTACTGCTCTGTTTTGATTTTAAAATGTTAAATGAATTGCGATAAGTTAAATAATATTTTTGAAGTTTTTATTTTGGCATTAACTGTACGAAAAAAGTTAAACGTTAATCGCAAACAATAAAATACATTTATATAATGAAAGAATATTTTTATCAATATTGTTTTATATCATCCAAAATTATTTGGTTTACGCCATAACTGATAAACATCCATTTACTTGTAAGTGGATGTTTATTAGTTATGGCGTAAACGAAAGCTACGGTATGGATGACCACAACTGACAAAAACAACGTCGTATGTTAAAAAGCGCCAAGTTTAACCAAATGTGATCATTTTATTCTTTCTTAATGACACTGTAGAAATGACAGATAATTCTGACGGGTAATAAAATATTAAAAATTTTTACCCCCCCCCCCCGCAAAACCTGGTATATTTCGTATAGTTAACTTTTTAATTTTTCGGTTATTAAAATAATTTAATTTAATGAGAACATTAAGGATAATAATATTAAAGAATTTTAAAACCTATTTTTTTTAATTTTTCGGATTTGAGGCAGATTTTGAATATCTCCAGTAAACTTGTCAAATAAAATTTCAACAAATTTCTGTAGAGATGTATGGCAATGTAATTATATTTATTATTCAAAAGATATTTTAATGAGATTTCATTAAATTAAATAATTGGGAATTGATTGACAATGTATTTCGACAATCATTCTTACAAAAGAGGGAAAAGGGGGAAGAGAAGGAAAAGTGAAAGAGAGAGAAGAGGAAGAGGGAGAGAGAAAAGGGAGAAAAGATGAAAGAGAGAAGATTGAAAAGAAAGTGGAGAGAAGAAGTAGAGAGAAGAGGAAGATGGAAGAGGTAGTGAGAAGAGGACGAGAGAAAAGGGAAAAGAGAAAAAGGATGAGCGGAGAGGAATAAGCAGAGAGAGGAGAGGGGAAAAAGCAAAGTTTGACAAAAAGGCTGCATCAGTTCGAATCTATCTAAAGCTTACACAAGATCGACAGCCACTTGGAGGTCACAAAGGCCGGAATTTGAGATAGTACTCATAAAGATGCGGACATTAGTCAAATAATAGATAATGCACATATATTAGGGGATGCTAATAAAAGAAAAAAGTATTACTGAGAACGATAAAATACAGGAAGTTTTGGAGAGCTATAATCGCCCGCGCCATGAAGAGACATGGAACAGACAGAGGAAGTTTTCAAGTTTAGTAGCAAAACTGATACATTTATCTTTAGGCATTATGACCCGATATACAAAACGCCCTCAATTCACAGCTGAACTCTTGAAGTCTTAACAATTTCAATCCTCAGCGTGCTTTCCTATTACTGTTGTTCTTTATTAAAATCAGTTTACTATTTAGTTGTTTAATAAAATATCTATTAATTTTAGTTTAATGAAATATCTATAATAATAGAATTATATATAGTCAATAAATTAATAAAAAAACTTATCTCTCGACCGGCTTCAATGTTTCGCGTAGCACAACTTATCAAGATCAGAACATCCGATAAATCTATTGAATTATAAGATATCGTATTTATATTCTACATAATAAATGTTAATCATTGACTCCAAACAAATTTCAAATTTAAAGTTTGTACTACAAGAATTTTTTGTAGCACGCGTGTTGAAGTCCTCAGGGTATTTAGTATAAATGAAGTTATCGCTAATATTTTTTGTCTACATTTAATAATTACGTTTCGTTCAATTTCGCAAATTAATCAATGTAATTTGTATAATCTGATTTGTTTGGGAAAAACTTTGACAAAAATTCTACTTCGTGATTTAATAATTTCTTTAATTTTATAGGACTTCATAGTAAACAATATTTTTTAAGAAAATTTTCTTTTTCTTTTTTAACAGCTAAGAATAATTTCTTAGGATTTCTTACTCTCGAGCATGCAACATACAATTGGCCATGCGTAAATATTTCTTTCTGGAGCTAAATTCCAACATTCTGAAGGTTTTGGACTTGGGATGTGTTTATAGTTCTCGCAAACGCAAGGAGAATTGGAAAGTGGATTCTTGTATATATATAAAAACTTAAAGAAAATTATATGCAAAAAAAACAATATTGCATTTTTTTATTAAATATTTTTTGTTATTTTTATCATTAAATTGTTTTTTTAAAATAGTGTGGGTATTTTTTATGTTAAATAATAAAACTTTTAATTAAAAAAAATGAATGAAAATTTATTGTACTACGCAATATAATAAAACAAACTGTACTTTGTATCCCCTTAAGGGTCTGCACTTCTCCCTAAAATTTGATTCAATCAGTCAATATATGGCAATTTTAGATGGTGTATAGGACTGACGGAAGTTACAGCATTATAGAGATAGATAGATAGATAGAGTGAGTGAGTGAACGAAAGGGATAGAAAGAGATATAGAGAGAAATCTAGAGAGATATATTTATAGATAGAGAGACAGAGGTGGATGGAGGGATAGATATACGTTTTGGTAAAGTACCTGATGAATTTCAAACATTCATAAACAGGATATTAATGTATCACTATCTTATTTGTGACATTAATTAATTTTATAATATTTTCAACACAAGACGATAAAAGACACACTTATTAGCAAAGGTGTTACCAACAGTGAAAGAAACAGAGAGGACAATATAAGAACAGTTTGCAAAGAGGCAGAAAATACTAATTGACGTTGCATTTAAATTTTTGAAAACCCCAGTTGACAGGAATGCAGAAAATCGGAATAGATTTTCACAAACAAGAAATACGTGAGAAAAACTACCAACATAGACTTCACGGATACAACTAACAATTCCAATAGTGAAATTAACGCGAACTGTATTTCCTTATTTTCAAAGACATTATCTTGAATATAAATTTACGGTCTGCCCATATTGATTGACAATAAAACTGAGGTTGAGATATGCAGGACAACCTGTGTGTATGGGTATTACATTCATCTAATATTTTGTCCATGAATAAAATTAAATTTTTACTTGTTGCCTTGTGGATCTGAAATGACAGCAAAGAAACTGAGCGACATTCAATAAATAAACACCGCCTCTTAAAAAGCAGAAAACTAAAATGAATTTTAATATTGAGCTTGGAATTAATTCGTTATCTTGAATGAACACATCTATAAAGAATTTGCGGTTTAGAAATTCCAAAAGGTTATGAAACTATTCATTTGCTCGTAATGATGTTTAATTAATTAAAATTAATGAGCTGTGACAACTCGGATGAAATTGACGTTTCCTTGCTGATTAATCAGGTCAATGAAACTGCATGTCATATATTTTTATATCTTTTATTGCTGATAAATCGAGAGTAACGAGAAGAATATATTTACATTTTAAAATTCTTCTCATTAGTTGTGTAGACGACATAAGGATGTTTTGATGATGTAATAGATTAGAGGCCCGGAGAGCCGAGTTCGAATTCCAGTTGAATTCGTTACGAGTAAATGCTCCCGGGAAAGATATGAATTCATCAGTTATCCCCGAGCTATGTGTTAAATAGTAGAACAGATTTTGCATTCTTCTGTTTGGAAGTCAATCTGCAACAGTAGTTCCCAACTAATGCAGCAAAAAAAATATAGCAGGTGAGGCGGAAGATGATAGCAGGTGAGGCGGAAGAGTATAGCAGGTGAGACGGAATGATTGAAAGACAATGAAAGATTTAGAAACCATTTCAAAAAAATTCCATATGCCAAAAATAAATAGGATTTCAAAATTTAAAATTATTGTTATGGATTCCTTGTAATTGCATGCATGAGTCCCAGTATAAATAGTTATAAAGAATTATTGACCGATTTTGTCATTGTGATATTTTTGCATTATATCAAGTATTAAGAATATAGTAACTAGAATCCGAAAATTGCAGGTTGGAGTTATCAACGATAATGTTCTGACTTCAAATTCGCTGTTATCTCCCTTTAACCCTCTCTCTGTATTTTTTTTTCACTTTTAAATATACTTTTTATTACATAAAATTTGGTGAAGCACGAACAAAATTTAATTACAAAAATGCGGCCCAGAGAAAAAAAAAAGGTTGGAACCACTGGTCTCGAAGGGTAATTCTGAATTCCAAATCATATTTGGCTTTGGTTCCAAATTAAGGGAAGCCAGAAGTTATGGTAAAAAATCGGCAACAGTATGTTGGATGTGGTGAAAGATAGAATCAAACAGACCAGATGTGTGATACTGAACTGCAATGATTTCACGCAAATGATATTTCATACTGGACAATGGATGTAACCTCGAGTTAAATGGAAATTACGGAAACACAATGTATTGACGTATGTCTCTTAGTATATATGCGCAATCGAAACCTTTGTAAGGACCAATCGAGGTGTCCCGATGCACCATCTAGTAAGTGAAGTTGTTTTCATACAAATGTACAATTTATCGCATGCAGCTCTGTACTTGATTGTTGAAATGTTAACGTATTTAAGTCTGTATATTTTCTTTAATTGGATGATAAACATGAAGATTACCTGGAGCAAATGAATACTATTCGGTTACATCAACAGCAAACACTTGCATTTTACACTCTTTAAGTATTGCTTTAATGAATGTTCATGATATATAAAGAAATGTGTATGGTGTGAATGTATTGTATGTAGTTTGTTTATCAATATTTATTTTAGATATTTTCTCCATAATAGAATTTGGTTAAAATAAGATTTCTAAAATCAGAATAATGACCTGTATCGAAATTCATTTTCGTTTTCATATATACAGACAGAAACATTGGTTTTCTTCTTATAAAACAATCACTTTTTTAGAATACGCATATGATTCAAGTTTTAATAATTTGGAGACAGAAAGTATAAAGCTTGAATGTCCTGAAGTGAATTATTTCATCACTGACCCGAAATTTAATTCATACATGCATGCACAATTATATGTAGATATGCAAGTGGTGCAATGGTTAGCGGCTCTGAACGAGAAATCGGCGAGCCAAGTTTAATTTCATGTCGCGTTCGTTACACGCATCGAGCAAGGATGCACTGGATTCTTGACAATCAGACTAGAAGATAGATAACTCTGAAGATCCTCCCTCTAAAACTTCTTTTGCTATGGTAAACATAAATCCCCAACCCAACATATAATCTTTAGTCCAGTCTGCAGAACGTAAGTAAGCAAACGTATATAATTATGGTAAAAATTACCGTATATTTTCCATGTTTAAAGCGACGTCTAGATAAGACGAGCTCCAAAATCTAGGCAAATTTTCATGATTTCATCTAATATCTGTAGTATAAGACGACAGACTTGAACCCATATGAGGCAACCGTAAATGATGATGTTTATGATGATCTCTTTGCATCTGATGGTGATGACCATAGTAAGTTTGAAGGGATTTAATTATATATGTGAATGTTTTATTTTCTTATTATTATTCTGTAATGACATATAAAGATTTTTATTGCATATTCGATATTTTGTGCCGTATAATATGCACGTTATCTTACATTAATTGCAGAACTTCGAGTTTCAGCCGAAGTAATTTTTAAGTGAATATATTAAATAATTCTGTTACTTGACATTGAGCACTGGTTTTCTTACACTGTAGTGTATTTATATATATATTTGTATACGATTGTATAAATTTTACATGTTATGCTAAATGTTGTTATTTAACACCACAATGACAATGAATTTTATTGGCAATATAGATTGTATGTTATCCTAAATATTAATCTTTAAACATACTATGAGAAATAATGACTGGTTTAAACCTACCCATAGTTCTACAAATCAAGAACGAATGATTTGTTTACGTTGTTACTTGTGCGTGTTGCTCAGCGGAAGATTTGAAAATTGTTGTATAATCGTCTCTTGAATATTTCATTTTAATGACATCACTCTCTTGAATATTGCATTTTAATACGAAATCAAGAAATAGAAGTAGTTTTATTACATTTATAACTGTAGTACAGCATTATAACGAGAATCGTTTCAACGAGAAATATTTACATGAGTAGTTGTAATGACAAAAGTACGCAGGTGTATGTTTTAAGTAAACTCTGTTCAACTGAGAATACAAGGTTCGTGTATAGTGTCTTTTTATAGTCCCAGTAAACAGAAATAGCTTTCTCAATGAGGAGAGTAACAAAACAAGGGGAGACCACTCTTGATTATTCATAACAGTAGTTACCATAGAGAGGCAGTTGTTTGTCTACTGCGATCCATGGCGCAACATACTAGCCTAATTACTAGTGCTGATACACAACAGGATTTAATGTTAGATTATTGTAACTATTGTATTAGACGAACCCCCTATTTTGAGAGGCAGTTTTTGAGAGTTAAAGGTTGCCTTATACCTGAAAATATACGATGAGAAATGATTAACATTGGATCATTTAAAATAATAAGCTGTGTTAACTGAATAATTTATCTACCGATGTGTGTCAGTCTTGCAAAATCTATGTTCACGTGTGTAGACATTTGTGAGACAGCACGTGTGAGTATTTACAAAGCAATAACATAATGACTATTTTGTTATACCACCCATTGATCATTTTAATTAGTAACGAACCGATTTATCTCTCACAGACACGCACCCATCAATGATTAAGAAAGCCTCTCATCTGCCAGACAACTAAAGTATTTGTCACCTGTTGGAAGTGAATTTTTGTGTGATTTTGAATTCTAGTTAATCTCAATCAGTCAAGACATTGAAAGAAAGTAACAACACCCCCCCACCCCCAACCCACTGGAAAATAGCTGAAGTGGCCGAAAATGCTTGTGTCAATGGACGCTATAGATAATTTATGTACTCCATCACTCTCACCAAACGGAATAATGTAAAAACGCTGGAAAAACTAAATAAAAAAAAATGATAGAATTTTTCTCTTCTGTCTTTTGTTTAAAAGAAAAATTGCTACCCATATATATATATATATATATATATATATATATATATATATATATATATATATATGACAATTCCGAAAACTTCAACTTTGAAGTATCACAGCGACGAACCAGTGTCATCAGAACAGAAACAGAATTTCATTGCACTTGCTTTTTATAGTGGAAAGTAGAATTTTTCAAGATTTACTTCTATATTTAGCATTGTGACGGAATCTCATGATAATTTGGGCCCGCGCGTGTTTAAAATTGTATTTACAATTTTCTTCCCTGAAGAAGAGATGTAATTCCACAAACACTGAATAGAGAATCATAATATATATATATATACACACATATATGTATACCGAATTGGTAAATATAGGTAGGTATACGAGCGAGCGATCGTATACAAATACATATAAATACCCTATAATTTAAGTAAAACAGTTTTCAATGACAATTAACAGAGCTATTTAATGAATTCACTTGAAAATTGATTCGGCATAAAACTCAGATTTGTACAATTAATGTAAGATAATATGTATAGTTCTTAATATATGTGAGTG